GGTGAGACGCGCCTCACCCGCGGTCCATCGGGGGTATTGGCTTCGAATGCGCGCAACCAAATGGGTGATCCAGCAGTTCCTCGAGAGACCGTCGGGTCAGAAGAAAGTCATCATCAATCTCGGTGCCGGATAGTGAGTCAAGATTCCTTGCCAGCTACTGCTCATCGCTAAGAGCGGCGCCCACTCATACAGTGATCCTTTGCCATTCCGTTGGCTGTCGCAGAAGGGCAAGGTTTGTTCCGATGTCCAATTCGTCGACGTCGACTATGACTTGGTGATGGAGACGAAGAGAGACATCGTCATGAGCACGCCGGAGATGAGGGACTTGTTGCATTTCACCCGGTCAACTTGCGTCGGCAGCGACCCTTCGGTGTTGATTGACAGCGAAGAATATGCCGCCGTCGGGTGCGATTTGCGCAACCTTCAGAGGTTGGAAAGACTGCTCCGGTCTGTGGTCAGTCTGGAGGGAAGCTCAGTCCTTTGCATAGCCGAGGATTCTACCTCGTTCATGCCTGTGGGCGCTGCCGACGCTCTCATCTCTTGGTGTTCAAGGCTCTCGAGAGGTGAGTCGATACTCCTGTCCTTTGCGCGAAATTGGTGTTTGTATCGCTGTCCTGACAGCCCATGATGGCTAGACGTCACATTTTGTCTCCTCGAGCCTTGTAGCCCCGATCAACCAGACAACCCTTTTACAAGGAAAATGACCGATCATTATACCGCCCTCGGCACCCCCTTGAAATCCATCTTCGAGTATCCAGATGATCGCTCTCAAATCCAGCGCTTTAGCAATGCAGGCTTCACCCAGATTGATTACCAGTCACTATGGGAGCTTTGGGCCGATCCTCGCTTTCTGTCCCCTTCCCAGCGCATGGAGCTGGATCACGTTGAGCCTTTCGACGACTGGGAAGAATTTGCTCTCTGGGCAAGTCACTATTGCCTGGTTGTCGCCCAGAACGGCATCCATCCTGTCCTTCCAGGCAAAATGATCAAGTCTCGTGCCGACTCGGTTTCCAGCGAAATTTCCGACATCTCGGCGAGGACTTCCTCGCCATGCAACCCTGACTCTGAACATTTCGCTTTCCGGTACTACAACGATCCAGGCGATCTCTGTCAGCGTCACCACGGATCGGCGTATCCCATACCCGACCAGGACGCTATTGCCATCTTTGGCGGTGCTGGAACAAAGTCGTGCCTCTCTACAAGTGCTGTCTGTCGACCGCGCCATCTGAAGGACGAGACCCCCATAGTTTTGCCGCCTGAAGTCGGTGCACGATGTTGTCACGTCATAACCGCTTTGAACAATGGAGACAACATTCTGGTCGGTGGCCGCCTCTCGCCAACTCAACCTCTGAAGGACTGTTGGCTCCAAAAAGGGAATACCTGGTATCGTATCCATGATTTACCAGAAGGACGATATCGACACCGAATCGCGCCTGTCACCTTGCCCGACAATGTGTTCGGTGCCATCTGCTTTGGTGGCAAGGTAAGCCCAACCAAAGTTGCTATCGACGTGTTGTTGTGGGAGCCCAACAAAGGCTGGCGTGCGCTGCGGATTTTCGGCAAAGACCCGAAACCTAGGTTCGGACCGAATTTCGTGTGTCTGGGTTTCAACCACGGCTTGTTGTTTGGCGGAATGAGGCAGGACGGCGTTATATGCCAGGGGTTCTGGCGTTGGCGACTGGTGATACGCGACAATGCCGTACAGGCACTGAGGTTCCGCCCGTCACACGGATTGGATACCAGCATTGGATCATACCAGTACTTTGCCCGATTTGGTGCTTCTTACGGCTTTGTGCAAGACTATCTTTTAATCATTGGCGGCATAGCCAGGTTGGGATGCATACCCAGAACGTACGAGATCCTGTCTCTCACGGGGACATTCTCGACCTGGCATGACGAGAGCAAGGAGCCGAGCTTTCGGGTGGTGGCCGTGGAGGCTATGTCCTCGCAAGATTGTCCGCGGCCATTCCTCATCGGCCATTCTACACTTCGAACACGAACAGGGATGTACGTTATCCTCGGTGGTGGTGCCGACTGCTTCGACCACGGCGAGTACTTCAACAAAGGGATATGGGTTCTCTATGAGAAAGAAGCCGGACTTGCGGCTGATTGGGTCATTGTGCCTAGCAAGGCTTCGAAGTATCCTCCAGCAAACTCCGACTCGAGCTACACCGCAGTTGAGAGGTGTCCTGAAGGCGTTTTAATTGCCCCAGCCCTGGTAGCCGACCCTGAGAGTTTTCATGCCGCGGTGCGTCTGTCACGGCCTCTGCTCATGAGCGGGCTTGATGCGGGCCTCTGTCGGTTGCGTCCAGTCGACTTTCTTAAGAAATCACTCCACCAAAGCACTATGAACGAAGAAGTGAGCACTCTACTCAAACCTTCGAGTTTGGAGAATACGTCACTCGTCCAACTCTTGGACGAGCTCGGCGTGTCATCGACAGCGTTCGACCTTCGCCGTTCTGAATTTATAACCAGCAATCCGATGTGCCTCCACAAATACCAGCCAGATATTGGTGATCAGTTCCGGATGCCCGTACAACTGCGCGGCGTCAGTCCTCTTATACACACGCTGCAGTTGATTATATCAAAGAAAATTTCCACCAAGCTCCAGTACAGTGCAATGGCACATATTCTGTTCCAAACCCACGGCACCCGAAAACTGCTCCTGTTTCCACCAAGCGACCAAAGCAAGCTCGACTTCCCGCCCGGGGCGACCACGAGCGATCTTGATATATTCTGTGACAAGACGCCGTTACAGGAGCACGTCTTTTACGCCCCGCCAGGGACAAGCCCTCACATCGCCATACAAAAACCTGGAGATGCCTTGTTCGTTCCACCTTTCTGGTCTGTGGCCAGTGTGATGCTCCTCAATGGCAGCAATGGAAAAGACCGTCCGTGTAATGGCCTCTCCTTGTCGAGCACCCCGGGGCAGGAGCTCTCCAGTCTCAGCAGTAACGGCTCAATCTCGGGCCGTGAATCTGTGTCCGGTCCAAATGAAGCGCTACATATCCAAGATCCTTGGGTCGACGGAACAGTCAAGCTCGCGTTTCGTAACTTGCCGCTTGATATGTTTGCTGACAGCTACCATCATGACTCATCGCCCGATCTCGCAGCCTATGATGAGAGTCGACAAGACCTTGAAACTGTTGTGAAAAGATTCACGTCGAACCTTTGTCAGTCCGCGTCCGTGCTGGATGGACAAAGTACTCCTACCAAGTCTGTTGCCAGCTCCGACCTCGTACTTGCAAACATTCCAAAGGATGTAGCCAAGGCATACCTGCAAAGACTGGGCAGAGAGCTCCTGACGAAAGCCGAGGAGTTGTGAAGTATTTACCATGCCTCAGCCAACCTAACTGGTGGCGCAACGAGCATCCCGAATCTGTTTGGACCACATCTTGCAAGGCCATAAATCAGAGAAGAAGATGACATACCGGGTCATGGATGGCTCTCTCGACTGGCGATTTGGTGCCTCTGGACTGGAGAGGACTGGTCGGTACTGTTCATGATGTTCTGAACTCGAGAACGACCCGCAGTGAAAATATTTCCCCCTCCGCTTAACGATGAGTGTCTGAAACCCGAGACGAGTACGGGCAGTTTGGTCCTCTACAATGATGCTGGCGTCTCGACAAAAGAACTAGTCGGGTTAGAGAGCGAATCGGCGAGACTTTAAGCGCAAGTATCAACAAGTCAAACCCAATGACGAGTGCTAGACCAGTGATGGTCCCGAAGACCCAGACTTTGTTTGTCAAGCAGTGCAGGATTAGGATCGGCATGACTCTGGCTCCTGAGGTAGTATGATCCTCTGACTCTCCGACCCTCACCGAACGATCCTATATCAATCTGACTAAACTTTTTCTGCGACCCTGCTAAGGCGTTCCTACTATCCCGGGTTTCCGTTCATACCGCTCGATACGACCACTTCAGCACAAGCCAAGAGTCCTTCAAGGAAGGCCAGCGCACAACTACATCCAACAACACCTGCATCTCCGCGCAGAATCAACACCTTCAATGCCTCCAACACAGGAGAGATGGATGGTGTGGAACGACAGCCCGCATCACTACTGCCACGACAGGTCTCTCTTCTTCAACGTCAGCGAAAACCCCTCAGCCGATCGAACCCAGGAATTCGTGGTGTTGGGGAAGGGCGACGTCGTGATCCCTGTCACGTGTAGCGAGAGACTCACCGCCATCCGTCTCAGGGATGTCTTTTACTACAAGACCGACAAGCCCAGAAATATCATCAATTTCAAGTCGTTGCAGAGCGACTATCCCAAATTGCGCCTCAGTCAGACGGTCAGGATCGGGATCTACGGCACGGCGATCGAGCATGCTGATGAGCCGGGGAAGGCGCTGCTGGTTGTCGATGAGTACGATGCGGAGCGATAGTGGGTGAAATCGAGCTCAGTTCTGTCGGAGACTCTGCTGGTGCACTTTGTGCTGTTTCAACAAGGCCACATAACGCCAGCAGCTTTAGAGTGGGACATATACTTATGCTGTGACAATTTGACCGACATGGAGAGCGAGTGCTCGAGGAAACGAATCGGGTCATCTCGAAGGGTGAGATGAGCACTTCAAAAGTGAACTGAGAACTCCGCTGACGATGTCTCGAGCAGGGCTGAGCATCTTCCTTCGCCAACCTGCGCCTCTGATCGAGATGAGCAGGAGAAGTGACAGATGGTTAGAGCACAGTGAGATGGGCGGAGCATCTACTATGCGGTCACTGCTCAATCTCATTCCGTTTACACTCGCACTTCACGATGGAGACAGTCACCAGAGGTATCCTTCGCAGTATTTCAACCTCGTATTCTCGATCCTCCCATCTCTATCTTTCTATCCATCCAGCTATTGTTTTCCGCCTTCCATTTTCTTGTCTATTGACGAGGCGTCCTATTCCATTCTGTTCCGTCCTTTCCCCTTCCCTGCGCTTAACTTCATCTCCAGACCAAGGTCAGTATCAATATCAAAGCTGCAGAATACCACCCGAGGATATACCGTTCACAATGCCCCGTCTGGGCGATGGTAACCTGATCCCTCTCCCTCCTTCAGGTTCGGTATACGGCGGCGGCGGGTACTATGATGACGAGGACGATGACAATTACCCATTTCCCATCCAAAGAAGACCTCCAGGTGTCCCGATCCCACGGCCGACGATCAATGGTATCCAGCGAGACGTCCCACTGCCGGGCTTCTGGCCTGATCCACACACACCCTACAACCTACCGGTCCGATTCCCTACACCTCCGCCCGGATCGACCCATCATAAGCAGAGCATGAAGTTCACGCCGTGGATTTTGAACCTCACGTCCGAGACACACAAGTGCGCCGATCTCAACCTGTTTCGGCTGCCTAAACCGGAGCCCAGAGAACAACTGCCACCAAGGGGTGGTGACGGTAGTCGCGGCGGGAACGCCACCGCACGACGCGGCAGTCAACAACGTCGACAGCAACAGCCACAGGATCAGCGAAGGCGGAGGAGAGGCACAGTGGTGCTCCCCATCACGCCGGGTCCCAGGCGCCGGATTGAATTCGACGTCAGCGTGATGACGCTCTCCAACGTCCTGTACACTCCCGGGGCGCAATATTCGGAGCTGAGCTGGAAACTCCTTGCGCAGCAGGGGTTTACGCGACACATCCTGCACCACGACCACATGCACGACGTGACGTACCTGTCCCCAGCCCGCCGACCGCCTGCAGGTGGTATTGAAATCGGCTGGCGCGGTGTCCGACGCCTTCCCCCTTCCACCTCCAGCTCGTCGAGACCCAGTCCTGCGCGGCGAAGCAATAGGAGGTACCCAGACCCGCGTGGCCCGGCCCCGAACGACCGCTGCGGCCGTCTGGACAAGGAGTCCAGCGTGGTCCGTCACCGTGCCATCCCCGGTGTTGACATCCTGTGGACCGGTTACGACAAGTTCATGGATCCGCGCCACCCGCACGTGCACATGACCGCGGCGGCCATGGTGGACATGCGGCTGTTCAGCTGGGGCATCGAGATGGGCGTCGTGGGCAAGAGCGCGGATTTTCGCGGCGTGGTGGAGTGGATTGGGCCACACGGATACGGAGATGGGGATGGATCCCCGAACGGCGATGAGGATCTGTTTCGCAAGATTGTGCAGGGCGGGTTACGGGCCGGAGAGGAGTTGGGAGTCGTGCAGCCCAGTCGAGGGTAGTGTGCCGAGTACCATTGCATCACATCACATTACATTGCGTGGCGTGGCGTTGCATTTCATTACATTGTATTTTTAATGAGCTATGGACAAGAACGACAACAATGAGCAGCAGTAGTGCGTGTGCAATCGATTGGCGATTGATGGGACGAAAACGGAAAGCAAGATGGGCTGGATGAGCTCAAAGATAGGTTCGCCACGCTATATAAATAGTATTTATCGTCTACCATTCAGCATTTGTCGTATACCATTTGCTCTGGCCGGTGAGCCAGGTCCTCTTCTACAGACTACTCCGCTCTAGATCCATAGACTATGCCCTCGAATCGATCCCTAGGCCAAGAAGAGAGTGACAGAGGAGAACAAACTCAACTCAACCACCTCCCCATTTCCACTCTATTTTTCTAACGATGCAAAGAAAGACGGGCTCAAAGGGAAAGACATCCACTGGATATTACGTACTCCATCCTTATCCCGCGTTGATCTCCAATGGGTATAGAGCGTTTCTAATTTCACCGCTTCGAGGACCGCGAGGGAACTTGAAGGAGGATTGGGGAGTCATTGGAATCCTTGGAATAGCATCTGTGCAGGATCGATCGATAATTAAGAATATTCTTCGTCTTGATGGTTCGGTGGTTGATCTCAGTCAGTCAGCTACCTAGCCTCTCTATGTAGGAAGTACCTATATGTTTACAGCACCAGCCATGTTGGCGGACATACGGAGCACAGATACGACTTTCCGAAATCCGGAATCCGATTTGCTTTGCGACCACTGCCATCAATCAGCTAGTCTAACAGGTGGTGCACGTACTCAACAGCCAGCCCCCTAGGCAAGGTACTCCGAATACCAAAGCAAATTCCACACTTTGGTCCGTCCGCTTGAAGTCAACCTTGGGCCCTCCCAATTTCACTTCAAAGTCCTCCTCCACCATCGATGTCGTCGTTGAGGCCCAGCATCATGCTCTGATCACCTCTGTGGCGAGACCTAGCTCCAGCTCCGTAATATCATTGCTTCTAGAGAGCAGAAGAGGTCCTAGACAATAATGCCGGCTCCCTCTCGGATCCCGCTTCTAGACTTGATCGCTGGGCATCGATAATGGCCCGGCAGCTGCTGCATTTCTCCGCCGGCGCGGATTCGTTCCTCACAGTACAAAAGGGTTGTTGTGCGCCTCTCGTCGGATGAAATTGATCCATTCCTGGCGATAGCGAGCTGTGTGGTGCGGTGATTTCGGGCCAATCCCAGAGCTTATGTTACAGGGACGAGAACTGGGCTCGCAGGCATCCGGCATATCTCCCGGCGGAGGTACTGTGGCGGTGTTCGTCTGTGAGTGGTCTTCAGTGGTTTGATGAGCTGCATTTCCCACCGTGTCATCTTCAGGAAGGTTGTGGAGAGACTGGCGGAGATGATTGCCTTGACCTCGTGGGAGAGGAGCGGGTCCCCTTCGAGCGGCGTGGCCAGCACGGTGTCCTTGAGCTTGTGTATAGCGAGGGTTACGGCACCGCCCAGTTTCCGACCGAGATCTTGATCGAGGACCATGAAGTCTAACGACGATGGCCTCGCCAACGGGGAAGGCTCGGTCGTTGATAACCACCCTAGTCTCGCCCCGACGACGTCTATGTCGGCGAATGCGTCTCGGGAAATGTACGACAACACTGTTGTCTTCTACGGGAAACACCCAGTCCTGATATTCTTCGGTAAAGCGGTGATTATCATGGGAAAGGTCGGGATCGGGGTCGGGGTCGTTGAGATCAAAAAGCGGTGTATTTTGGTCGCCACGCTCGATCCGACGCAATGCGAGCAAGTATGAACGGCGTAAGGCAGAGACTGCTGCTTTCAGGTCACCCCAGCAGACCATGCTCATCAAGTCAAGAGTTCTGTGCACCTGATATCTGATCTGTTCCCTTCGAATCCCCCCTGATCGGTCTGTGGGGCTTTCTCTGGATGCTGGGGCAGGACGCGCCGGGGTCATCTCTGAGTGGGATCCAGAACCAGACTGAGGCGGATTAGGATTGTCAGGCTTCTGCGGCTGACCGTGCTCGGCAATTTCCTGGTCGCGAACGGAAAGAGATCCTGTTAGTGAGGATAAAAAGTCATGGTCAAGAGTTTGGGGCGAGTCAGATGTTGCTTGGAAATGTGGCTTGCTGCCGGGACCTGCCTCTTCAGAGGGTGTTTGGGGCTGTTTCGAGATTTTTACCATATTGAACCGCGAACAGAATTGATCCCTTGGGCACACGGGATCTCAATGGCGCGGATACAAGATTTGAGGAAAGACCATGCTTAAATACCCCGGTGAAAGGTGAAGCAAACACTGAGGAGTCCCACAGGTGACTGTGGCAGGCACTGGGTCTGAGGCACAGAACGACGGACGTGGACAAGCAAGTTTCAAATCATGTCAACTTCACAGAGCACTGTCACGTTGCTGTTTGATATCGTTCAATTAGGACGGGGTAGATCATCGTGACCTGCTGACTGGGTGGACATGTGTGAATCTGCAAGGAACGGTGGCAATGAAAAGAGCGAGGGATGACTTCGGAACCAATGAGGAAAAAGCTGTAGTTGGCCTCATAGAATCCGTATCTTAACAGGCTGGTGTACAGTGTGTCGAGTAATGCACAGAATTTTCGAACTTTATGATATCCCACAGATTATGCCTCGTTGGCCATTCTCTCGGCGGCTTCTCTTGCTCTTTTCAGATCCTCTTTCTGTTTCCGGATCGCATCCATGCCGGCTTTGACGCGCTGCCTGTCTTCTTCTGCCTTCACGAAGAATTCATTGAGTCGTTCCATCTGTTCATTTTCTTCAGGGTTCTCTGGGAAGTCTTCACATTTTGTGGTGTTTTGGAACCATTTCCAGATGCTCCCGGGTTGGTGTGGCCCTAAACGCAGTTCCACACTCCTGGTGAAAATCGATGTCGCAGGAGAGGCTAATGACGACGATGTAGATGCGGTTGTCTCTTCGACAGGTTGGGATTTTGCCTCTATTTCAGTCCACGTTTCTCTGTATTCGCCGTCATTGCTTCTTTCTAGAGAGGTTCTCTCCATCTCCCTCAACGCGTGCTGGTCGGCACTCTCAAAGGTCAATTGTAATCGGCTGGGTCCTTGTTCTACCCTGATGGGCAGGGCTGGATTGTGGTATTTCAATCGCGGTAGGTGATCTTTTTGAAATATTCTCGCAGGTCTCGTGCTTTTGTTCCATTGCTTCCGGTCATATTGTAGGCTAAGGCGAGTTAATTGAGGGGAAGGCGGAGGAGGAAGGATGGCGGCGCCTTCGCCATGACGGATTTTGAATAGCTGAAAGAGTGAGTAGAGAAACACGCAATGCCGGATATCCCAAACACTCACTTTCTACAGATCGTCAGCGACTCTTCCCTTTGTGTAAAAGAAACAACTTACAGGCTGGAGATTGCGCATACGCTTCAGAACGTTCACCATTTTGAGGCAGCCTTCAGAGCTCTCATTCAAGCTTCAAAGGAGGCGCAGTGGAAGAAGGAGCAACAACAAAATGAGAAGAAGCTCCACAGTTTGTCCAGGAAATGCCACCGCTAGTTGGCCTGCAATAAACCCACCATTTCCATGAAGCACATGGAAACCCGAAAGTTGTCAATCTTTCAATCATGCCACAAACTCGCCCAGACAAGGCTGTGGCTCGGCGTGTTTGTCACATAGCGGGTCTGCAGCAGGAAGTGCGAACTCTATTTCGACGAGGCTCTTTTTGAAAAGGGGTTGATTGTTGCGTGCTGGTGAGGTTCTCCAAAGCAAGGAGAGGCTTGAAAAGGCACAAGATTGGTGCAACCGTTATGACATCTATGTGGGCCCTGAATATCGGGATTTCTCCATCGCTGACTAGCTTGACGGGACACTATGATCCCTTGCGACAAAATGTCTTCCCCAATAGGGTTTCGAAGATACCGAAAATCGATGTGTATTTAATGTTGTTAGAGGATCTGTGAATTGACAGAACGGTGTGCGTCCGTTCTCTATGCTGCCGCGTGGCTGGGGCCAGGGTGCGATATGTGAAATTGTTGAAGCAGAGAGCTTGCGAAACCTTCGAAGCCGTCATTCTTCAAGACGGTTGGAGAGTGTGGGGAGGTTTGACTGATGTTTATGTATGGCCCATACCTCTTCTGAGTTCTATGTAGGCGATCCCTCTAACTCTTGCTCCTGTATGCGTCTTTCCATCACTGCTTTTTGAGGGTAGGTGGATGCGTTGTTCAATTTCGTTGAACTTTGTCCTCTGGATTCAGGAACATCTCACTCTCATGATGGATTACTTCCTGGGTTGACATAGACGCTCTGAATTCTGATTTTCCAAGGTGAAGGAGGATCTGCAACACCGTGTGTTAAGTCTTCTCAACTTTGGAAGTCAAGCATTGTGATCATCTGTCCAACACCATACAGTCTCCAGGCTCTTGTCCATTGCTTGGTCTGAAGATGGTCTTTGCTTTTGCTGTATGGCAGAATTCCTTTCTCTGATCGGAGCTCTTTCTTTCTTTGCTTTCTTACGAGTAAGGTGTCGAGTAAAAAAAAATCCCGTGGGCTGTCGAAACAGCATCGCTAGTCCTGCTGAGACAAGGGCCGAGACTCCAGGGCGGAGGTTTGTTTGTATGCTTTTGAAGGACATTGAGGTGCGGTCTTAGGAGGAAGATATCGTGGACAAGAACATCAATCCGGCGCATTGAAGTGTGCAAAGGCATTTGTTTGAGGATGCACGAGCACAGAGACGACGGAGCATCCACGGGCTGGGAAGACAAAAGGAAATAAAGGTTAGAAAGATGGAAGGAGAAAAAAAATTGTAGAAGAGAAAGCCCAAAGAGATGGACGCTATGCCACTGAGGTTGGACTATGAATGGACCTGAACACTCCTCGTTCATCAATCCAACTAGCCCAAAGACAAGGAGTCGGTTGCCTACCTGAAGACACCAGCCATCATAGACATGACAATGGAGACTGTCGAAGAACCGTCGTTGTCTGCGGCAGAGGCGGAAGTTCCTGTAGCATTTCGAAACATTGTGCCAGACAACCTCGCAGCAGACCTTCCCATCAAGCAGATGGCCAGGACCGAATTGCTACCCTTCCAAACGAAGAAGAACAGAAAGTCCGAAACCAAAGAAGTGCCTGCGTCCCTGCTTGATAAAGGCAGGTCGCAGAGAGGAGAGAGAAGAGCGCAGGCAGCCCGGCACCCCTTCCAACTTGGGACTGGCGACTTTGGCAGTGAAGACTCTTCCTCTTCTCTCCTTTCCTCCCTTCATCATCTCTGCGATCACCACCCTCCCTTCTTCGACCATCCTTCATCAGATCCCCGCCATTGCAAGCATCGTGTGTCTTCACCTTCCCGTGGTATCCGTGGATAGCTGTTACCGGTGGCAGCTTCGGCGGTAACTGCGTTGGACCGTGTCGCGCACATCACATTCGTTCTTCTCGCACATCATCCGCATGCCCTTTTACGTCCCTTCTTTGCCACAATTCACCTGGAGACATCCTGCCAAAGCTGGAGAAGTCTCCACAATGGCAGTGGACCACCCTGTCTCCGCAGTGCAGACTGGTTCGGTTGTTCGTCACCGAGCCGTCACTGTACAGCCCACAAGGAATGGCAAAAATCCCGGCACCGCCAAAGTCAAAGCGCCATACCGCGTTGTGGAGATAGAGAAGAAAGACCCGCAGCCAATCTCTATCCTCGGTCTCGCTCTCGCTGGTATCAATGTCATCAGCATCGCTGCCTACTTGGGCTTGCTCTTCGGTAATGTGCTGCAGACATGGTGGCGAGGTCAAGGGTTTCCTAAAACCCCTTACCTCTTCGCCCTTGGACAGTTCTATGACGGCTGTAAGTATACCTCCTCTCCTAGACGCCATCGACTAACGCTGCCGTAGTGTCACCAATCGCGGAGGGAGTCTGGCGTATTATGGTCGGGCTTGCTCGTGATCCCAAACCACGACCGAGCCTTCGCATCCTCGGTACCAATGTTCCAGGAGTAGACGTCTTCGTTGTCTGCTGCGGAGAACCGGATGATGTCGTTCTAGACACAATCAAAGCTGTCTGCAAGCTCGATTGGCCTGAAGACAAATTCAGAGTAATCGTAGCCGACGACGGGAATATGGAAAGCCTTCGTCTTGAAGTCGAGAAGCTGCAACAGAGACATCCCAACCTCCACTACCACGCCCGCAAGAAACCCACTGATAGACATCATGGGTACAAGGCTGGCAATCTCAACCAAACTATGCGAGAGTTTGTTGTCGATCTTCCCGGAGGCCAAAATGAATTTCTGGCGGTGTTTGATGCCGATATGATGCCCGAACCTCAGTTGCTCCGAGCTCTGATCCCACATGCCCTTGGAGATGAAAAGATCGGGATGGTCACTGCTGCTCAAGTATGAGATTCCATGCCAATATAGTTTCCGATGTGCTGACAGTAACAGTATCACTACAATATTCCGGATGATGATCCCTTGTACCAGTCCAACATGACTGGAACTACAGCTGATGATGGAATTCGAGACTCGGTCAACGTCGCCTGGTGTCCGGGCAGTGGCTTTATCTTGCGCAAGTTGGCGTGGTCGGAAATTGGTGGCTTCCCAGAGTTCACCATCACAGAAGATCTCATCACCAGCTGGTTCCTTCATGGAAAAGGCTGGAGGATCATCCTGGTCCATGAGGTTCTGCAGTGGGGATTGCAGCCAGACTGCATCCTGACGCATCTCAAACAGCGCCGACGCTGGGTAATTGTGGACACAACCCTTTGAAACTTTTATCAATGGCTGATACAGTGGCAGTGGACCGGACATATCCGTGACGCTCTCAAGATGAATTTCACCTTGTGCGACTCTCGTCTTAAGGAAGCAACGCGGCTTCAACGCATCGCAATGTTCCATCATAGCTGTCGACCATATTTGATGACAGTAACGAAGCTGGCCAACAGCGTTATCAACTTTGTCTGCCTTTACCGCGGTCGACCTATCATTGCCACCCCGACTCAGAATGCACTGTACTGGGCTGTCATGTTCCTTGGTATCGTTCGTCTGCTGGCGTTGATTGGCGATGTCGAATCGATCTTTGGTCAATACTACCTGAATATCCGTCGTCGCACTGCAACCGGAGTCTGGATGGGACACCACTTCTCTCGCGATGTCCTACAGACGCTGCTCCCAAAGCGGCTGGGCGGTCTTCGTCTTGGGTTCAAAGTGAGTGGTGTTGGGGGTACTTCTGTCAAAGAACGAGATGTCAACAACCGTCCACCTCTTCTCAAGAGACTCTGGAATCTCCATCGCCGTGAGGGTATCTTGTGGCATGCTGTTCTCTTCTTTGTCATGTCTAGTGTGATTATCTCTCGACTCTGGGCTGAGATTAAGGCATCAACTGTCGACGGCAATTTCATCGCTGACAAGGTGTTTTGGCATCGCTTCATCGCCTCGGTCGGTTTTCCTGGCCTTGCTCTTGTCGAGACCATTCCTCTATACCTCACGCCCGTCATCTATGCCATCTGGCCACCAGCAATGCCGGAGCGTCGTGACAGCATGGTGTATAACGACAAAACAGGTCTCTGGCAGCCGATGGACAAGTATAGATCAATCAAGTGGACTGCAGCTAGCTAGTGGCTAGCCGTGCCTCATGTCCTCGGCGTTGCCTGGATGGCCGTTGTGCTCGTCGTTGTGTGGCGCATGTGAGATGACACGTGATGGAGGCTATGGAAGGCGACGGGTGTGTCGGTGAAAGATTTCGCTCGAAAATCGAAGTCGACGAGCAAAAGAGAAAGAAGCCTAGTGAGTCTGGCATCAACACTTGGCATCGCGACACCCTGCTGACCGCGCCTTGCAGAACTCACAGACATCATTAACACACCTCACACCGCGACAGGAATAGAGAAGGATTGACACCAAGCAGAAATCGGCCACGGGATATAACAGAAGAGCTCAAGGATTATCCTTTTTACACCGCTTGAGCATCCGTTACCATGAAGGCGGATGACAAAGGGTTTTGCCAGGGGTGTTTCGACGGACGGACGACAGAGCTTTTCCGTTTTCTTTCCTTTGCTCTTTTCTTCCCTGGTGCATCATCATCGTCGTCGTCGTCGATCACCAGAGCCCAGGATGGCCAGAGCTTGTCATGTACAAAGGCCTCTTCAGGTACATACACAAACACTGTCAATAGCCTTAGCTTTAGCATCAGATGAGATCAGCAGCAACTCATTAAGCTGAATCAAGCCTTCCGCGCATTGTCCAGTATTTCCTTTGCTCTCAACTCCTCATCGAAGGCATCTGGATCCTCGACCTCCCTATCCTTCGTCCTCTGTGGCCGCAGCCCAAGCTCGGCCTGATGATCCCAGATGCGATCGTGTCGCTTCGCCCACCGCTCCCTCCTTTTCTGCATCTCCTCCTCGTCCTTTGGCCGCCATTTGCTCTTTAATATTCTCCTAATGGCCTCGGGAGAAACCTTGAAATGGTCTGCAAGAACAGGGGTGGACCATCGCTCAGGATCTTCTTCGTGAAGGGCGCGGATACCATCCATCGCGTCAGGCGAGAGTTTCTTTCGCGGGTTCCACCCTTCGTCGCCAAATTTCTTCGCGAGGCTGACCTTTTGGACCCGCCATGGTTCCAGCTTCTTCCCAGACTTTGCGGTCAAGTCTCGCAGTTCAAGCCGTGGTTTCCTCCTGGGCTTTGAAGCAGCACCGATGCTCACGCCAGCGTTCATATCGGATGGCCCGCCCTCTGAAGATTTCGCCCATGGACGACCATGCCTATCTCGGAAATGAGCCCTTGACGAGATCACGATCATCCCTTCGTCCTCATATTGTCCCTCTCGGTCACTTCTGCGGTCGTATCCGCCAACCGGTCCTGCCCCATCATATCGCTGATCACGCTCCTCTCCTGCTTGTGTCTGTGCATCCCAGAGCCTGTCGGTGTCTGGCACGGTGGCCCGTGCTTGGGATGAATATCTACGCTTCTTGTGGGCGTGGCAATCTCGGGACACGGATGTCGCCAGGACTCTGGATATCGGCCGTGGGGTGGGTTTCGACGATGATATGAATGGGCCGTGTGATTTCGTCAGGGGAGAGGGTGCTGTAGTATGGGTGCGGCGAGTTGGGCGGCAGAGTGTCTGTCTGCAGATGGTCTTGACGGTCCTCATGACCCTATTGCTCGTCTGCATGTTGAGAGGCATCTCCTCTTCTCAACCGTCTGCCTCTTTTCACGATTTTGTCCCCAGATCTCTGACGCTGATGGTGCAGGCGATCTTGGATGAAGTTTCAAGCATCCTTTTCTCTGCGGAGATGAAAGCGTGAACCAATTTTCCAGGGCCCAATCGAGCTGCATGACTAGTGATGCGACAGGTTAAGCGAGATCCTGACTCGTGGGCGATCATGGGCAGGTATGGGATCGTCATTGACATCAAGACTCATTCAAGTCTAGACCTCATCTACATTCAAATACTATATTTGCATCGCTTTTCGCGTTTCGCGCTTCCTTCTGCTGTCGGTTGTCTTCCATCTGTTCAACGCCGTCTTTAGTTCGTCTAACACCGGCATGGCTTGGCCAAATCTCTTCAGGCGGCGAGATGAAAACACTCGAACAGCCTGGGGATATACCTTCCAGATGACACCCGGCCATCTCACTCCCGAACAGGCTCATCCTATGAAGTATACTTATGATGTGCTTGGAGAAGAATGCTACGAAATCCTGAAACAGATGGGCAGCAGTCTTGCAGATGAATCAAAGCCGGAGAGGAGAGACGATGCTCAATTGGGGAGTGTGGCATATCAGTTGCAGCAGCCGGCTTCAACCGCCATGAACGGCTCTACTGAAACCGATCGCCCGCCGACGCTGCCATCGACGCCAAAACGCGACCTTTACGTCCTTCTCCGGGATCACCATTCCTCCCACCCCAAGCTGCAAGAACTCTGGGACGAGGTCACCACCGTCCCCAGCTGGGTCGACTGGGCCCAAATCTGCCGCGGGCAGGACGTCTTTTACCGCTACGGCGCGGCCACTCTCACGGGGCTCGCCTACCAGTCGCTTCTCGGGGGCATGGGCGCCAACCGCGTTGTCGAAGTCCTGGCCCGCACGGGTGGCTTCTCCGTGAAAGTCGCTCGCCATCGCCTATTCGAGACGACGCAACATATCCTCGAATGCACGCGGTCTCTCGAGAGCATAAGGCCTGACGGCGCGGGCTTTGCGAGTTCCGTGCGAGTTCGCCTCTTGCACGCTGCCGTGCGGCAGCGGATCATGCAACTATCAAAGAGCCGACCGAGTTACTACAGCGTCGAGAAGTATGGGATCCCCATTAACGACCTCGACTGCGTCGCCACGATCGGCACCTTCTCGGCCACAATCATCTACCTCTCACTCCCCCGCCAGGGGATATTTCTCCGCAGGCAAGAAATCGAGGATTACATCGCGCTGTGGCGCCTGATTGCGCACTACGTGGGCACCCCCACCAGCTACTTCGAGACGCCCGAGCGGGCCAAGTGCGTGATGGAGAGTCTGCTGCTGAACGAGATCAACCCGTCCAACACGAGCCAGGTCCTAGCGAACAACATCATCCGCTGCCTCGAGAACCAGCCGCCTACCTTCGCGAGCCGGAGCTTCCTCGAGGTGAACGCGCGCTGGCTCAACGGCAACGAACTCGCCGACGCATTGGGCCTGGGGAAGCCCGGCGCGTGGTACTGGGCGCTGATGGCGGGACAGTGCATCTTCTTCGCCTGTCTGTGCTACACCTACCGCTCCGTCCCGGCACTAGACAGGCGGAAGATCGAGACGCTCAGGAAGGTGTTTTGGGCGCTGATTGTCGAGGGCAAGTATGGGCTTGGAGGCGAGCAGACGGTCTTTGAATTCAAATATATTCCCGAGTTTGGCCTGGGGACTGCCAAGGGTGAGCACGACGAGGAGAAGAGGAAAGGCACGGAAGGAGGTATTGAGAGGAGGAATCTGCACACGCTCTTAGTTGCGACGGGGGTCTTGGTTGGCGTGGCGTGGCTGGGCGTTAAGGTGTCGACGGCAGTGTTGAGGAGGATCTTTTGAGGGAAAATAGTGTATTGGAGCATTAAAATGACCAGGGGCCATTGCATAGCGACAGGTGCAAAGAGCATGCATAGGTTTATGTAGGTAGCAAATTTTTGAAATTTCACTTCTTCACAGTATTGTCGTATGCAATCTTGCTGCGGGGGTATCATGGTCATCATAGCAACATATACAGCAGCCAAAGCCTTGCCTGACTGATATCACGTCCTCTCCTCCTTTCCCAATTCAGCATGCAAATCATCACACCTATACCTGAGTATGCCATCTTATGACGCCCAGTAACCGAACATGTCCGACTTCAACACCAGGTACTCCAACATATTGACGTCGGCGTCATCGTCATCATCAGCATCCAGTTCGTTGAGAAGTTTCTTCTTGGGCAATTGTTCCGCTGATTGCGCTTGAACGCGCAACACCTCACTGAAAAGTGTAACTTTGCTTCTAAACTCCTTGTGCAGTCGTTTCGTCGTGGTGTCATCAGTGGTAGTAGGACCACTACTCAGATTAGCATCCCCCTTCAATCCGAGGTCCTTGTTGGTATGCTTGCGTCGCTCAGCTGCCGATCGAAGTATTACACCGTAGATATCTTCCAGCATTTGCCTCAAACCCGCTTGGTTTCGGTTCAACAAGAGAGCACCGATGATCTTGTTCAGTGTTCTCTCGTGCAATAAGCGGAGATGGTCCAGACTCTTGATGACAAGCAAGGTCTGGCAGTAATCCGTTTTATCCAGGTGCGCCTTTGCGGCACAAAGCACTGCCTGAAATTTCCTCCAGTTCAGCTCAATCGCAGTGTTGTGGTAGTAATCTGCAATACTTGAGACAAAATGATGCATTGCAATCACAGTTTTATGATCTAAGAAACCGTTGATGGCCGTCTTGTCCAATTGACGGCTAAAACTCTCTCTCAGCATCCTCTGTGCTACGGCCTGTATTCGCAGGGTACGCAATAGATGCTGGAAAATTCGATCGTATTTGTCCAGTATGTCCGGCGTAATGACTGCTTCCAGTATTTCATTGGGAGCTGTATAGTGAAGTCGAAGGAAGTCCAGTGCATGAATCGAATCAACGTCTCGACACTTCTCGAGCTCCTCGAGAGGCAAATCTCGAATTGCAAAGGACATAGAATCATCCAAAGGGCGGTCTGCTAGACTCAGGCTGTCTGATAGGATGCTCATGAGCACTAATCTCAACTCCGAACCAGCGGGTGGCCACGAGTCTCGAACATGCAGACGAAGGCCAGTAGCGGCGCTCGTTTTTCTGTGACCTTCACCACTATTCTGGTCTGGGTCAAACAGCACGATGCTGAGACGAGAAGAGAAGAAGGCGTTTCCAAGCAAATGGAAATGTTTTTGCAAATTGAGGTGACCGAGGAGGTTATGTTGCTGGAAGAGCAACCGCAACACAGAGTAAGAGAGCAACCTGTGCTGGGTGGAGACGAGGGGCGTGATAGATAAATTGAGGGATGCTTCCAAATCCAGCTGGAGAGGCGAGTCCTCGAAGTCTTGTCCCTCGAGGTATACAACGACTTGATCTTCCAGTTCGTCATATTTGCCCTCATCCGAGAGACGAGCACTGTAGTTGAAAATGTCCATTTGTAAGCGAAAGGCGCTGGCGGACTCTGATTGCACGCTAACAGGCCCCTCCAGATCGAAGCTTTCAGAGGCAGGAGTGTCGAGGGAGCTGCTCGTTGTCGAAGATTCCGCCGACGCTATTAATGACCACATGGCCTCCTCATATGCCACAGCACGAGCCTGAAGTTCGGAAATGACTGCTAGGGTGAACCCAACCTCGAGTGCCCTCAGAGGGGAGGATTCGAGCACGGTAGTGGACAAGATGGAGCAGTCCGGAGAATAGCTTCTCAATAACCTCAGGCTCTTTTGTGCCTCAGATATTGTACGTGAGAAATTTGATCCAAGTAGTGCCTCCCACACTCCATTGTCAGCAAGCGAAGTCTCTGGGAACGAGCCCCTGGAATTCTCGCCTCGTGCTGAACTAAGCCCTATCTGCTCGCTCAGGAGAGCCAGAATGGGCCGGCATGTCCGTGAGAGCATCATCTGCAACACTGCGGCGAGGGCAGGGTGATCAAGAGATACTCTGACAACTCGTTCCATCAAGCTAAGGATGATCAAATGCTCTGTCCAATTTGCCTGCATGGCGTCGACACATTGTTTCAACACATCGACAACTATCTCGACTTTTGCCATAATGCCTTTCAGCTGGAGCAAGGACATTATGCTTGACCTCAACTCGGTAAGGTATTTGTGGACGGAATATAACACGGACCTGGCGGTGGAAAGGAAAGTTACTTTAGAGGATGACAGATGCGGAGAGTTGTTGTCCAAAGCTTGAAAAGACCCCATAAGGTACCTGGTGTTTATCCCAATTGTCGAAAAGATGTCGAAGCAATTCTGGATGAGCATCGAACTGTATCCACGAGCCGAAAGACGTTGCCATTGAGCAACGAATATACCGTCCTTCTCCTCCCATCTGAAGAGAACAGAATCTCGTCCCATGCACAATTCAAAGAATGCGTTCAAAAGGATGCCTGGTCTAACACATCCCGGGCGCGTCTGATCTTTTGCTTCGAGTGTAGCGATAAATACCCGGGGATCTGTCTCGCTGAGATATGATGATGCCGGTTCCTGATGGCTTTTATCCACAAAATTGTCCCAATTTAACAATTGCCCTCTTCCCTTTCTCTTCTGAATATCTGGCAAGATCCAGAGGTCGACCAATTCTCCCTGTACGCTCTCGCCGTCGAGGCTCTCGAATTGATCATTCTCGGAGTCAGACGTGGCCGTGGACGACGGACGTGACAGATCCTGTAGGGGGACATCATCTAGTTTCAATTGCAAAACGTCTGTTTTGAGCGCAGGGAGAGATCCTAGTGTGGATTCATCTAGCCGAAGGAGTCGGCTTTCCAGATGGTGGTTGAACTGGAACCCATCCCAAATTGCATCAGAGGGCAGGGGTGCGGAATTGAGGTCTCTGATTTGGGCTGTAGAGAATGGATCCAGTAGCTCTGAAGAAGACATATTCACATGTTTAAAGGCATGGTGGGATATGCGCCATCCTCTACTCCGTATCTCGTCTGGGCCGTTGGCTCTCCGACGACAACAAAGAAAACTGCGGCTGTAACGCGTTCGAGGACCTCCTCGCCTCGTACGTTCGTGTGGTTGATGCGGCGAGGGCCAATTCGCACGCCGCTTTTAAGCACTGCTCATCGAGGTGAGAATGGGAGCCGGTGCTTAAGGCGGCATGATTTCTAAGAGGGACGTGACCTGGTTTGCCCGGCGATCACGCCGCGAACCGATTCTCCTACGAGTCTTTCTACAGTCGAATAACGCTCAAGCGTGGCAGGAGATTCTTCAAAATTGATGCATTCCAAAGTTCAAAACTAAAAGGAGCCTCTGCCAAGATTCGACATTCCCAGATTTGAAGGAAGCAATTGCTGGTCCCATCCAGCCTCGCCGGCCAGAAAGAGTCACTCCGTACCGAGTACTACTACACCTTTGGCCAAAACTCCCCCTCCCAATTCTGTTTCTCCGTTCGGAACTGAGCTGTTGTCGTGAAACCCTGAGCGCGGACTAGTGAGACCGAAGCATTGGTTTTTGAATCGACAAGACGGGAAACTCCCTGTTCCGGGTCATGTCCTCAATGAAGTGGAAAGTGAGTAACGAGAGATTTCTTTCGGTCCCAAGACCGGTTACACTCGAGCACGGATCTGCCTAGTCCTCCTACACCCGCCCTCTTTATTGGAGGGTCTTCTGACAACTTAAGGAGGGGTGATGAAATCAATCTGGTAAATCCATCCTGGGTGACGAATATGAGCAACCTTATCTCCTTCACGTCAGTGACGCTGGTCAACCAGGCCTGGTAGGCCAACAAAACCCGCAAATAGCGAACAGCGAGACCAGGTTTTTCCGGAGCTACTCTTTCGACCATATCCCTTGGACGTTGCCCTCGGTATCAATGAACCTGGCAAAGAAGCCCATTCCTCCTCCAATTTCGGTCTTGGGGCTGTGGTAGAATTGAAGTCAGTCAGACCACGCTAAGAAACGACCCTCGCCTGGAGGCTGGACAACAGAGGAATTCACTGACATATACATCTTGCCACCAGCGGATTCGACCTTCTTGAGCGTCTCGTCAATGCTCTCCACCAGAAACGTCATCACCGGAACATCCTGCTCGGGCGGACCCAACTCGGTGATTTTGGCAACGCCGTTCTCGTGTGTCTGCAGCAGGAAGCCCCCATGCAAGGCGCCCTTGTTGAACATGTGGATCGATTTTGCATGGTTCGCGAGTCCGCTAGGCACCGGCTTGCCGTCCAGATCGTCACAGATCCAGCCAAGGACGGAAGAATAGAAGGCGGAGGCACGCGACACAGAGGTCACGGGCACTTCGATGAAGCAGATCTGGCCATAGGGTTTGGTGTCATTCTCGGCCATGGTGCGGATCAAGGAGTTGTCTGAATGCACCTGGAGTTTGTCAAGATTGATGTGAAAGGGAGACTTGGAAGCAAGAATTGAGCCTTGCGATGGGACGGGTCGAGGGAGGAGATATCGAACTTTTATATCCCAGCCCTGAAGACCCTGTCTCGGTTCAACACATCGTACCCCTTGCAGGTATGAAATTGGACTGGCTGTCATATCCGCTTTGTGCTATTAGGCCTCTTTCGGGTTTCCTAACCTGGACTATTGTGGCGCCAAACTTTAGGCAACATTAGGCATCAACTCGCTAGCAGCCAATGAGACGGAACATGATGCCGAGTAACTCCATTGTTCTACTCGTAGGGTCGGTTCATGGCACGTGGTTGTTAAGCTTCACCACTTGTAAATCTTGTGGAGGCGATGTCGAAGTTTCTTACGTCCACTTCAAAGAGATAATTTCCCACACGAAGTATTGGGATGAGTGCGCACCTTGGGTCCGGCTCTATTCCGTCCCATTCAAAATCCATCCCAGGGTCTCTTTGTCAAGTGGCTTTTCTCACTCGGCAAGTGGACCGCCACCGTATCAGCTGGTTTCACAGAACGCCGACGGCTAAATTCATGTCCGTCCAGAGAATGACCTTGAAGTGCTACCGAATCTTCGAGGGATACCCAGAATAGGAGGTAGGGATGTACGAGAGACACTGATAAATCCTGACATAGGCCTTGCTCAATGAGGCGAGTCACGTCAAGCAGCATCGTTGTTTACCTGCTAAAAAAAAAAAAGTTCGATTCAACTTCGCCTCTTTAGAAGCTTGATGCCATATTGGTACAGATGGCTTCTGCGGCTGGCAAGGAATGCCTCTGGAGCCTGCGAAAATATAGTCGCTATGCACATATTCTCCATGGAGTCGGCCTAGTTACTTTGAAGCAATCCGTCCTCCCAAAAGTCCCGCCTACTTGGTCACTCGCCATTGCCGCCAATGGTCCAAGCAGCCTTCAAAGGCTTGATATCTAACCGGTGTGCCGTTTCTCTGCATGGCACGCAAGTATGCCGTAGGTTCGGCGAGGCTGACTGCTCTCCAACGTCTCGGTGGCCTACCTCAACTCGGATGCTTGCACCAGGACGCCTGGTATGTGCTTTTCACAGTCTCGCCCGTAAGTGAGTCGGAAGGGGTCGCCTCGAGCGCCGCAGCGATGTGCAGCGTGCTGAGAGGTTTGTTCCATGTCTGATGAGCCTACATGATAGGAGACACAAAGGGAGAGTGATATGGGAGTTTCCAAGTATTCCAGCTACTAAGACGCTTCGAAATTTTGCAAAAAGAAGAACATTTGATCTGCTGCAGCTACTGCAGGAGCAACCTCGTTGTGCCTGCCTTTCCCAGGCTACCATACCCCCATCCAGTCCCTACGCCGAAGTAAACATGTGACAACCGACAAAAGACCTTGATCCAGCAGGTGTCTTTTTAGTCCAAGTTTTCCAATCAATTCGTTGAATGGACTCATTGAACTTGCAACTGAATTGAAATATCCGCAATGCGGGAGACCATGAGGGTTCCGACCCCCCCCTCATGACGCCACTTGAAGTGGGACACTACGGATATCGCTGTGTTACTCCATCATGGCCGTACTGTGAACAATATCTAGAGAAGTGAAAAGTTTGGTTCTTGCCGATCTGCTTGTCCGAGGCGGTACATATGATGGCAATGTGCTGTGGCAGCCAAATGCCTAGCAGTTCATCGCATTCGGGTCCGTGGTGGCCTTGGAGCAAACACCGCAGTACTCCTGCCTGTACCGCCTTCAGAGTTAAGTTAACGACGCGTGAGAATGAAGACTAACCCCGAGGATGTCACGGCATCAACAACAACGCTGTGCTGTGGGACTCTCCCCCGTACCAGCGGGAGGCGAGATCTACCTCGAGCCTGGAGAAAGCATCATTGCCTGTTTGTTCAAGGGGCAGAGGGCTGAAAGAAGGCGCCGCCATGTTCTGCCCAGCGGCGGCATCCGTCCAGCCAAATTCAAGTATCTCGATGTCATTTTTGTAATATTTAGTTTCAGACACTCAACACAGAGCTTGGTGCTCAGCTACTTTCACGTTCAGCGACCATACTCTTTGGGTATTCCATCTGACTCGACCTACCATCTCTAAAACATAGAATGGAATCATTCTCGATAAACACAACCGTGGTCTTCACCACCACTTGCAGGTTTGTCTTCGGGTAGAAGACAATTGGCTTACCTGCATGTTCATGAGGGGTTTGAAAGTCCACTTGCCGCTCCGACTAAATTGAATCGTCCGCTGGCGTCTAGGGGATCAACAGCTCGAGTTGAATACTCAGGATATTTGATTGCTGTAGAAGCAGCATCCTCCCCCCTTCGATGGGACATGCGATTACTCAGCCGAGCATCCAGTTCCTCGGATTTTCTAGACAAATCATTCTGCAGCTCATTCTCGGCTGATAGCTGCTGGTGAGCCGTTTCTCTGGTGTTGAACAGGACATTCTATAGACTCATCTCGACCCGGATGGATCCCGACGTGAAATTCATGGGTCTGTGCTTAAAGCGAGGCGGAAGCAGTGGCACAAGACTCACGGGTTCAGATAGAAAGAACATTCATTAAGTGAAAAAAGATTCTTCTATAATTCTTCCTTGAATAGCTTCGTTTTGGAGAAGACGAGGAGCCAAATTAGCACAGAGGGCTCGGTCGCTCCAGACTGAGCAGACTGATTAGAGTTTCCATTCCGCAATCCGAGCAGAGAGCTCTTGTAGCTCGGTATGGGCTGCATTAAGAGTTTGAAGCAATCGGGAGTTTGCTTATGGGTCGGTCCGCAGCTTCTCCTGTCGAAGCACTTGGTCTATTGCTTGCAGCAACCACAATATCGGAGACATCAATCGCCAGAAGCAGCAAAACACTCTTCCCTTAGCAGGTGTTCCTGAGATTCCGAACTCACACGGTGATCGGGGCGATGTCGGTTTCGTTAGTTTGGAGACCTGCAGCAAAGAACTCTGCGCGGCATGAGGTTCGGGGTCTTGAGCGAAGCGAATGCTGCCCGGTAGTCAATAACCAAGTCCGATACTGCAACAGGAGGGGATTTTCACTTGTCAATCAAAGGTCAGGAGGAGATCCATCTCTAGGCGGCAGCTGGGCCAGGAATGGGAACCTGCTCCCTGCACAATCCTTGCTCGCCTCGTATCCGGGCTGTCGGAAGGAAGCCGTTTTGCCTTGTTTCAGGTGTGGGAGGCTGCCACCGGAACTTGTGGTCCACAGTTTTGAATGCGAAACATTGTTGGGCCCGGTCGGTCCCAGCCGGAAGGTGGGCCTGGCAAGCTGACTGGAGCACGAGCAAAGCCCACAGTGGCCCATTGGCCATGTCCTGCTCTGAACTTCATCTATTCATGGTTATTCTTATGCGCCGTAACCCCCGGAGTCTTCCTACTAACTTGTAGATGGGAGCAACCCTCAAGATTTAGCCGAATCAGAACCGAGCTCGACGAGCTCTATCTCCGCGCTGGAATTCTTACTGTATTACTCGGTCCTTTCCGTTCGCCTATCTTGGCCTGGTGCGGGGAAGCTTCGCTTGTAATACCCATGACCCTTGTCGCTCGCCGGATATGGACTAGCTAGATTTAAGCGCCCTTTCGGGTTGATTCCACCTCTAAGCCACCGAGACTAGGTACTCTTCGCGTCAGGGTTCGACGGAGGACCGTGCGCCCCAAAACCCCCGACCTGATATCGCGTTTCGAGGTTTAACAAAGCCTCTTCAAGTTCAGAGAGAGAGAGAGATGCTTCAGCGGTAGGTCCATCCTTTTGGACGGGGGCGATCACCCAGATGCTGGGCCCCAGCTGGATTCCAAAGCCAAGGGGAAGACAGCGGCCCCCTTTGGCACCTCCAGTTTTGATGGCTCAACAACTCTTCATCCTGGCTGTGCATGCTGGTGAAAAAGGTGACGTGGCCTGCTGCCAAGATGCCACGGTTCAGGCAAAAGGAGAACAGTGTTGTGCTCCAACGGCATTCCCCCGGTGACATGTCAACTCCTTTCTGGGCCAGAAGCATATTGCGCAATCATATCTAGCCGTCTCCTCACCCTTTTGGTAGATGGTCCTATACCGCAACCCCTGTCGGTTGCTCTCTCCTTTCCGGTAGTTCGACATGATCTTTCTTCCTAGGGCCCGTTCAGCTCATCAGCGGCCCCAGATTGACTGAGTGGCGCAATAGTCACCGAATGGTGATTATATCCGTGGAAGCAGCCCTGATGCTCGGCGTTGCCCGACATCCTACGGAAATTTGAGACACCTAGTCCAGAGATAAGCGTTTTACTCTCCTTCGGGGGTCCCAATGGAGCTTCAGATTAGAGTTTCGCCCTCAAATGACACAGGACAAGAGGACGACTTCTGGATCTGTTGCACCGATGGTAAGGCCGGCTTTAATTCTGGCAAGGTGCAATGCACCATCTCTGCGGAAGAGGAAATCCAAGAATACCCCGGCACTTCATGCAATCCGCTTTTGTATAGTTTATATCCGTCCAAGAAGAGTATTAGCCTAATTTATTGCAGCCTATATACCGAGTATAGAAAGCCTATGGCAGACTTCAGCGCTCACATCTCCACCGAATGCTACATCTTCCCACCCTTCATTTATTATCTCGTAAGGTCAAGCGCTCGAATAGGCAGCGGACGCAAAGTAATTTTCCGGATGGTACGTGTCAAGAATGATTGAGAGACTGACTCCCGGGAGTAGCGACCTCATCAAAATTTGCTGGCGTTCATCCCGGGTAATAAAACCAGCAGTATTGAAATCCAAGGGACAGATATCCTCATTTTCATCGAGGGCCGGGCACCGACCGTGACCGCTGTAATAAAGGATTAAAGAATCTCCAGGTCTAACATCCTTGACCAACCAGGCTATTGCCTTAAGTATATTAATCTTTGTCGGTTGAGAAATCTCTCGTCGCTGGTCGTCGGTCAATATGACCATATCATTTTTGTCGTATCCGAAACAAAGGTTGAGATACGCAGCCATGTTCTTGACGTCGTCAACACAGCCGCGCAGTTGTCCACGTTTGTTGAAATAGTTGACGCCAACCAGCACGGCCTTCCTTCTCCCCCGAGCACAGAATTTGGAGCTGGTGCAGCAGTATGCTGGAGGCGCTGCTGGATGAAGAAATGGAGTTGTATGTAGGTCCGTGTAAGGAGATGATAATTGAAACGCTTTTGGCCGTTGTTCCAATGGTTGCATTGGAGTTGATTCGACGTCGCCTATGATAATTGATCGTTTTAGAGTAGAGCAAGTGGAAACTAGCTCCTGGCGCGCAAAAACAGGGGATTTGAAATGTAGAGAGTTAATTTCTGCCTTGACTCTGATTTTGTAATCCAATAATGAATGATCGCAGACATTGGAGGATCTTATAGGCCGTCAGGCTACGGAGCCTACCAGACTCGGCTTGCTTACAATTCTTGGAATAGTCAGGATCTCAAAAAAGACCTCAAGAAGCCTGATAGTGATTGACTGTCCAAAAGTTGTCATGTCGATGAATAATTGAGCTCTTCTTGAGAGGACAGGGATGAAAGGACGTATCCAGATGAGTGGAGCAGACGAGGGATGGAGGGGGTTAACAGCCACGCTTATCGATATTGACCCGTGGTCAACGAGGAAGCTGTGGCGTTCCATAACAGTTTCCCGACATCTAGACGGCCTCCGCTGCTCTCAACACGCTATCCTAGATGAAGAAATGATCGCAGTCGGCCCAGGCTCTCAATCCATTCCAATCTGTCACCAAGACTGCCTCCAACGGCAAACCCTGGCTCAATTCCGTCCAATTAAGCGATTGAGCACCCGAACCCAGGAACATCACTCCACCCTTTCTGCAGACGTAAAGGTTCGTGTTCATGATGAACGGGGAATCAAACCAGTCATCATGATTAAGGCTACGGACAAAGGATGCACGCGCCGTCGAACTGGCCACCTGACTACTGGGAATCCCTGACCAAGCGAGGTAACAAACGGTGGACGCCGGACGTTTCGAGTTCTGCTGCATCCCTTCTGCAATATTGGCTGCCTTTGAAGTCATTGCGACGACCGTTTGATCTTATAGCTTATGTGCAGGGAACCCTGACTTAAGGGATATGCTGGGGGTGGGACAGTCCAACAGCGAAAGTTAGGGCCCGCAAAAAGTCAATCGGAGGCCAAACCCGTCGAGGGCCCTTCAAACAGCGATCATAGGTAAAGTACTCGCCCGGAACCGGCACCACCAAGGAGATTTAACTGCGAGGACAAGCTAGTGAGCGGAACCACTTACCTCGTACTCGGTACTCGTTGCGACCATTCAACGGATGGCTGTAGACCGGGGGGTTGTTGTTGAAACTACTTGTACAGTAGCACCGCACGTCGCCTAGTTAGTGCCTGCAGTACTTAGTAGTAGCTCGCCCAAACTGGCCAGGGGCGGGCGTTCCGAAATTCCGCCATTGGCTCCAGATTGTCGACGCTAACGAAATTGGGACAGATCCTGAAGGACATGGGATGGAGCATACTGTGACATCCATATCCCTGCCGAAGATGACCTCACACTCGGCTAATGGCGTCGTTCGAGGCTCGCGCCATGTTAAGATCGCCGATGAGGATCGCCGATCAGAAGTAGGGGTTCGTGATGGGGTTCCAGGCCGTTACTCAACAGAAACTCCCAGTTTGGGATGTGAAGTCACCTGGAAGCGCCTGGGGAATAGGGTGAATACATATGGTGTTCTGGGTGGAGAAACACAAGAAACGCTGATGTCTAGTAAGTCACCAGTTGGCCTCGCATTTGTTGAAGAGAAGGGGGTTACGACTACGAGTTCCCGTAGTGTTTCTAATGGTTGGATCTCGGCAGAGATTTTGTTCGAGCGGACGTCCTTGTTGCAGGGTATGTATCCATGGATGTGTCTGCCCTGGGAACGCCTGTTGCGTTAGAACCGACGCGTTGGCAAACACCCTAGGGCTATCACTGCTGCTAATCCGTTGCCAATTCCCTCTTACACCGAGTCAGTGTCGAGCCACAAGCGAACCAGGTGATCGAGGCTCTCAGCAACTGCCAACACGACATCAAGATACTCGGTACTTTGGTAAGAATTCCTCGGGGTAACAGGCTTGGAGACCCCGATTTAGGCTTCCCACTTTGTGGCTCGGACATGGTCGATTCGAAATATTTTCGTGTCTCGCGAGGTTCCGCGATAGGGAATCTCTTTGCCTTATAACCCTTTCTGGCCTTTAAACTTCGGCCCCGAGGCGTGAGTTACCTACTAAATCTTTTCGTTGGGGAACTCGAATGAGATGTTTTACCATAGGTTCCCCGTTTACAGGCCCGAGGTTACCAGCAAACTTAGATAGTAGCGCAAGGGGCAGAGAATCTATTAAGCTCCCCAACGCCCTTCTAAAATAGATACCTAAGCGAGAGATAGGTATAGCCGATCATAAGGGATCAGATTAAGACCCCAGTGCGTTCGCATACGGAGCGTTTAGGGAGCGGAGTGCTCAGTGATACTCAGCCCAAAGGCTTAGTTAAACCTTACACCAGGCTAAAGCGGCCTCCGCCTAATCTCTAGGCCGAAACCGTGCACGGCAATTAGGTTTTGGTTTGCCAATAATCGGGGTAGCCCACTTGGAGCGGGCCATGCGGCTTAGGGACTGTGGACCGTGGATCCAGCTGTACACCAGCCCTACGTCTGATTGCGGCATCCCCTGGTTGTCTTGAAACCTTCCTTCAACGTTGCTCAGACGAGTCACAGTGCTGGGATTCGGGGTACAAGTATACCTTCTCTGTGAGAACAGCAGCGGAGAGACTTCAAGACAGCGTCATGGCTCCTAGCTACGAAGATGGCTTACAGGAGCCTCACTAGCCTGTGGAAAACCATTTCTGTCTCAGACAACATTGATACCACACACCAGATGAAAGCGCCCGAATTAAGGCATTTCATTACAATGGATAAGTTCTTTTTGGTTCCAGTCAAACTACGGCAGTCACCACTGTAGGTAATGGGTCGATCACGGCGCATTCGCGCATGACCTGGAATTATAGGGAAGCAGCACGCTGCAACAGTCAAACCACCCTGAGACTTTGCAACTGCTTGTGTCGAAGGGAGTCAGACTCAAGGACTGCTTCGCGCCCGAACAGGTCAGGATGTACGTCTTGAACACCAATGCAGCAAATGCGGATGTCGAAACCATGCATATTCTCCGCCAGATGGACTTCACTGGCATACCCTTTGAGGATGGGGCTGTGGCCGACGCAAATGATGGTGACAAAAGTCCTGGGCTTAGTATTCTTTCGACAAGATCCGATTGCTCGGTTGAGCTGATAGGCGGCTTCCAAAGCCTCGCTCGCGTTGTGAGGTTGCGAAGAGGAAATAATAACGACATTAAGACCGATGGCGAAGAAGAACTGTGCGAAGATGCTCCGGAGAGGCTTCAACAAGCCCCAGGTGAGAAAACTGGTGACAGAAATTGGTCGGATTCTCCTGTCCAGGCCTCCATCCCCACCAACTGTTAGGATGCAGCAGCGTGAAGATCCACAAGTTTAATGTCTAAAAGAGATTGGAATAGACCAACATCTGTCTGGCAGCGTCCGCCTATTATTAATGATTCCGCTGGATAGGAGAGCGCAGTGCTCATTTGATTACCCGGTCTAGACGGTGGATGAACATTTTTAGTGTGCGAAGCAGGTGCATCTAAAACTATACCGGACAGCTACAGGGTGGTCGTTCGCAACTATGTTTTTCTGGAAGGGTCATGTCGTTTCTATCTATTCAGAAACCTCTTGCTTGGACATGTAGCTTGTCCCACTATCAATAGATGTTCACTGTAAGCACTAAGTCGGCATACCGAAACTCTTGCGCCTTTCCCATCCAACTTCGCTGAGTTCCGACCTTGAGCGTCAAGCATTTAAGTATGCTACAGTCGTTTCACCTCTAGAGGCACCGCCCAAACAAACAGCAGCAATTGGTCTCGAGGGTAGTTGAATTCGATCCGGCCGCCCTGGGTACAAGTGAACTGATATCGCGGACGGGAAGCGTGTTTGGCGTCGGGAGGGCAAATATCGCTGAGGCGTCATCAATACACAAATCAAGCCATGACTGGCAACAAAGACGAGGTGGCTTACTTGCTGCGAGAACTCCGACGAGCACAACTTTCAACGATTTTGATATGCATTTTGCTATGGTGAGGGGAAGCAAAGGCTATACGTCTAACTGATGTTGATGTTATCGTCGAACGAACGGCTGGGTCCAGGATGTTGTGTGAGACGCCCCAAATTCAGGAAGACTGTGACCGTCTTATATACCTTTCCTTCTGGCCACAGGTTTTTGCGTCCGTTGCTTCAGTCACCTCGTGAGCCGGTTTACCCTTCACCAGTTGCACATCGCCACGACACTTGAGTCTGGACCTCCTACTAGCACCTGATCGTATCAATCCTGCGCGGGTCCTGGGTTGGCATCGAGAGCCGTGTTCGGCCCCTCTTCGAGCTGCAGTATTCGTTTGTTTCACTTCCTATGCAAAATGGGGACTAAAATAATCAGCACTTCTTTCGCCGATATGAGAGACTGTGTCTAGAAGCGGTGAAGGTAAGATTTTTTCCTTTGCCTCTATCAGCAGCTGCAAAACGGGCCTGCCCATCTTATGTTCATATTGCCACATTCTCTCAGAGGATTCTCGGTCTGCCAACATGAGGATATTGAGGAATGAGGATCAAACATACCTCTTTTCAACAAAGCGGCTGGAGCCCTGATAACAGCATTATCTTGAAATTGGGCAACATATGTCAGTCACTGGTCGCGCGAGCTCATTGTCCAGACTCCAGTCTGCTCAAAAGAAAACAGGATCTGAGATTCGTCACTTGACGTAAAGAAGGTACTCGCCACAGACTCGCTGCAATTGACCATGGACCAAGCCTCGGGTGGTCCGTTGAGCAAAAGGATTTGTTCCACCGCCTTGCCTGCGATATCTCCTCGCAGTGCTTCTTCAAACGCCAAAGAGGTCTTATTCACGGTTCATCCATAGTAGCCCTTCCGAATAGGAAGGCCACAGGAGATACCAGAGTTTTTCGATTGCCGGCCCGGATCTGTAGCAATCGACCACCCTACAGGATCCTTCGGGCGATACTTCGGGCGCCGATCCCATGGAATCTAGATGGTAGTCGAAAGCGAGGGTCGAAAGGTTCGATATGTTAGGGAAGTAATAGCTGCTTTCGATGATGGCGACAGAAATGAGTGAGGTGTCCATCTTAGCTGACTGTCAAGAATAGGCCTATAACCCTTTCTGGGTGGCTCCAAAATAAGTCAGGACAACAAAGCGAGCGAATCCATCGCCGAATTCAGTACCTATTAGTCATATAGCTAGGTTATCGGAACTATTAGGAAGGATCCTGATACGTACCTTTAAAGCCGGATTCTAGGCCACTCCAGGACCCTCTCTCGGTCTTCCATCCGATTGATCTTCTTCATACGTCAACGCCCTTTCACCTTTGGCCGAGTCTGGAAGAGGGCCAAATGCTTCGATCACAAAACCTACCCAGATCCTACCACGTTTAGGGTGTGCAGTCAGACTCAAGGGGTCCATCGACCAAACGCTAGGTGTCTGGACCCCGAATCTCAGCGGGCAAAAAGGTATATCTCAAGGCTTCACCTCGAGTTCATGTTCCGGAGACGAACAGCAGAGGACAAAACAGGTCTTGTGCTGGCTTTTTCCAACTTTGTACCCCCGTGAACGTCGTATTAGGGACGAGGCGCAAGTCAGGCAATATGCAATAGCTTCTGTTAGAGACCATGCTAGACGCTCCTGGGCAGAGGGTCATGTTATCCCTGCACCAGCTACGTGTGGTGTTCAAGAAATTGTCAATAGATCGGTCTCCCTATTCGAGACCCGGAAAGTGACTCCTGCCCTATACTCCGTCGAAATGTATCACCGGCTTGATTAGGCCGAGAAAGGAGAGGAGGTGCTTACATACCCGTGTCCAAGGACCAAACCTGACGGTGTCCGCAAGCGAAGTCGGCGTCGAAATTGCCAGCTTTGCCCTTGGGATTCGCCGTAGTGGGAAGTTCATCATGATGCCTTGGCTTATGCAATATCCATCTTTCCTTCTCTCTTGCTCGGTTGCTAGCACGGCTTCCTCTGCCCTTGATTCTCGGTCTTGACCTTCAACAAGAAAGCTCCTCCTCATTGGGGGAAGCGGCTGTGATGGAGCAGTACATACCTAGAGGCAATTGGTTGCCTCGTGCCCGAACTAGGCCAGTTTTGGACATTTTCCACGCCCCTGGTTCTGCTCAAGAAGCCGACGCCTTTCTTCAGCCTTATTTAATACTTCAAGTTCGTGCTGAGCCATGGATTTCTTCGTGAGCGCCCCTTGGAGCCAAAGTCTACGAAAGGACCTAACCAGAGCGTTGCAAACATCACCATTACAGAACTCGGAACACAGCCATGGCAGAAACGTCGCAGTTTCGCTTCAAACAACAGCATCCGAATATCCCATCTAAGAATCCAAGTCTTGCTAAGGGACAATGGGAAGCGCTAAAACCGATGATCTCAGACCTCCTTCATCGAGGACTCTCCATCTCAGAGATTCACCGACAACTCGACTCCAAACACGTTCACGTCACACGGAGTCAGCTCACTACCCAGATGAACAAATGGGGATTCACCAACGACAAGAAGAAGCTTCATCAGGGTGAAAGGCCCATCTCCAATCAAGACTCCACTCAAGTGCACATTACGGACTTGGATTCAGAGGCTCCGACCGTCTACATCGAAGCATTCATCAGCAGCACCTTGCCACAACTAGAATCGCACAAACTCGAGACGCATACGTTCGATCAGCCCCGAGCCTGCCAACCGATCTCAGGGACCTGATCCAAAACCTGCAAATTCCATGGATGAAACAATCCCGGACATTGCTACGCACGAGCCAAACATTGCTGGACTTGTCCGCTGGCTGATGGCGGACCAACAACCTCAGAGCCTCTCAGAGCATTCGACCATTACCAGCAGGATATCCGCAGAAAACGCCCCGACATCTGACTTGGCATCTACAGTGACGACTTGGCCGACCCTGCGAATGCCCTTATACAATATAGGCACTACGGGTCAAAATTGGCAACCTCCGCTCATGAGAGTACTACTTCACAACATCGCAGACAAACCTATTACTAGCAGGCTCAGCTTCATGGCTACGTTACTCTTCAGCATGAGGTGCTTTGAAGAAGCCTTTGACATCATGTACCTCATTACTCGTAAGCTTAATGATGTCATGGGAGAGCAAATCGATGTCTGTATCCATCTTCTCTTCTTTGCCATAAGCTGCGCCCGTTCTGCTGAGACTCCACAGCAGAACGTCGCTTCGAAGGAAATAGTCGAGCAGCTAGAGGATTGGATGGAAAAGATACAATCCTATCTTGGCTCAGATGGTGTATGTTATATGCGAAGCCCGCTTCAATCGGCATGGATGGCCTGAAGAACGAAACCCTCGAGCAGTCGGCTTACTGGGCCGCTTTCACACCTTCTCCCTTGTAGCTTGTTATGTTTCCTATGGGGATTGAAGGAACAAAACTCAGTCCCCGAGCCTTTCTCCACTTTTTCTATCTGTCTCCAGAAATCCAAACATCGATGCTGCTGGCTCTCGACTGGATGGAAAGACGCCTGCGACGTCGGAGGCTAGGATTGGAACAGCTTCTTCGACACTACTAGCTTCCTGACGTCGCAGATACTACGGACTTGGCACTGGTTCTGGTGTGTTGGCTCTTGGAAGACCATGTGCTGGGCCTTTCACCATTCTGGTCTAAGTTAACTTTTGTACCTCCAGTCCGGGGCAACGGCCAGCTCTCAAAGCGGTTTTTCAAACTTTGGTGTCGTTAATTTTCCTTATTGTTTCACCCGGGAGAGGGCTTAAACACAGTGATCACTCTATGGGCCCTCTACGGTTTGAAGATCCGAGCTCAATTTTGCTCACATGGGCAATTTCGGAAGTCAAACGAGCCTTTGAATCTGTTCCGGGAAGGAGAGAATACAGACAACTTATTAATGAATACCTACGAATGAGTTCGAGAGCAACAACCGAACAAGTACAGGGCGTCGTTTCGAGGGAAGAGCTTGTGGGTCTGGCTGCAGCAATGTGCAAAACAATTGAGGCCTTTGACATATCCCCCTTGCCCTTGAGGCAGCCAATAAACCCAACGAGCGCGGATGCAACCTCCTCTGCAAGCAATTCGGATCCTCTTCTCCAGGGAGTTCAGAACTCTTTCGATAGGGATCCATCACCGGGTCCGACCTTGGCCAGATCTCTGAGTTCAACGAGTTCTTCGTTTAGGTGGTTTAAGTCTACTGTGCGTCGAAGCAACGCCTCTATTTCCGATCTTTCGATGCGTACAACGTCCACGCGGAAATCATCAGAGCGGATGAGTTGGCGATTTAGCGTTATGACAGGCATGTTATCGAACCCGTCAATACAGTAGGTCACCGAGCGATCCCAAGGTTTCAACAGCATCCTCCTGGAAGCGACTCGAGGCATCAGTGGTCCAGATTTGACCTCTCTGGATGCATGGTTCGCCTTGTGGATAGCGAACGTATAATGTATCTGCCATGAGTTTCTCTAAGGAATGGCGGAACACCACCCCTAGCTGCCTAGGTAGCATTCACCGAAGGACGTGAGAGAGAGTGTGTGAATTGGCATGACAAGATAGAAAAGGAGGGATACATCTCTTGATCCGACATTTCGATGTGATTATTGTTGGGTATTATGCCACCTCCATCCATGGCTTCCACAATTTTCATTGATGATGTTGGCTCGTGCAGGTCATCAGCTTCAGTCATCTTGGATGGGGAGTACCCAATGTAACTGTGGGCGGAATACTTGGTGTATGTAGTTTACGTTTGGGTTTTGAGCAGGGTGGGAAGTGGTCTTGAGTGGTGGTTCCCCTCCACCCTCTACCCCCCTTTTTCAAGTTCTGCCTCTTTAGAGACTTATATCCGAAGAAGGAAACTAAGCCGGCCTAGAATAATAATGCTACCAATTAAATCCAGACTCTAAACCCACGAGACCTCTCGACAATCCGCGACTTCGACCTCGAAAAGAAAGGAGTAACGTTAATTTCTGTCCGTTGCTTGTTAGCAAAAGGAGTTGGGCTGCTGAGGGAAGACGAAAACAACGCGCCAACCCTCCAACTGATTGACCTGTCAGGCCGATCAATCTCGTCTGATGTTGCGCAAAAGGTCGGGAATGATTTGAGACGCTGGGATCAACTCACGTCGCCCAGAGCACAGGGGACTGACGGACGGACTGTGGCCTCTCTCGTACTATTTCCGTCTTGACACTACTACACGCGATCCGGGCGGTCTTAGAGTTAAAGATAGAGTCCATCAATGTCGACGACGACGACCACAATCCCCGTCATGGAGTCTTCCTCCAACCCCCCAACCACCAATACCTCTTCTCCTGACGACACCCACCTGTGGAGCCCGGCGCAAGAGTCGGCGCTTCTCCGAGCCATAGTCCGCTGGAAACCCGTGGGGATGCACAAGCATTTCCGGATGATCGCCATCCGCGATCACCTCTTGTCCAGCGGCGCCATCAACCCCGAGGACAGCCACACATCGACGGCCGGGATATGGCGGAAATTGGCGAGTCTGTATGATCTAGAGAAGCTGGATGAGCGCGAAGACTCGATCATTTTTGATGGGTCCGGCGTGGGGGTCGCCAACGACGAGTCCGGAAGCGTCAGCAGTTCTAAGGGGACGGAGTACTGGCGCGAATTCGAGCTGCCTGGGGACGAGTTCGAAGAGTTGATGTGGCAGAGACGGCTTACTACCAACTCAAGCACAGAGAGCAGTCCTCTCACGCAGCCGCCGAGCCCGGACGTCGTTATTGCAGAGACGAGGCGGGAAAGCACGGTCGCAGACACGGATGAGCCGCGGAGTTCGCCCGTGAGCGTCTCGGGGCGGACGTCAGGGAGAGGGGCTAGAGGAACACGGGCTTCAGCTCGCACAGGCGGCGGCGGGAGGTTGACCAGATTGCAAATCGAGCTGGAGACGGAGAAGAGCGAACGGAGCGGAAGTCGACGGACGAGCAAGGCGCCGAGCGTGAGCGTGGACGAGGACCACGTCATGGAGGATGCAGACGAAGAAGCGGAAGCCGAAGAGGAGCACGAGCACGAGCAGAGCGGAGCCGGCGAGGACGACGAGAGCGAGGAACCGGAAGAGGAGGAGGCCGAGCAGAAGCAGAGCGGGCCGTCAAAACGAGGACGACGAGCACCATCTGGAGGACGCAGGGGAAGAGGAGGACGGAAACGGGGCCGAAGATGATCCCAAGGTTATTCATCATTGGAACAATGATCAACGGATGGAGAATGCCATTCACATTACCACGAACAAAATGCCAATCGTTGGAACTGCCGTTCTTTAGCTGGGTATCAAAACCTCAATCGCGATCCAGTCGCATAAACAGGCATCAACACAGCCAATTTCATCGGCTTCGTCACCAACTCCATCCTTCCACTCTAGGTTTTCCTTACAATTTTCTCCCTAGGCTGGCGCCGTCACCAGCGGCCTGCCCTTCTCCTTATCACTACTCCTCGGTTTCTTGAAACACCCAAAGCTATTTCGACTGCCTTCTCTCAGTTTCTTCAACACGATCCGCATATCGCCCAATTCCTGCTGTAATCTTGTCCTTGCCTCGTTCGTCGTCCTCTTGTCTAACTCCGTATATATTTGGCCCTGGATCTCCCCTGCCCTCGTAGTCGAATAGTGCGTCATTGTCTGCGCAATGAATTCCGTGTCAAGGGTCGCTTGCATCAGTGCTGGGAGGCTGTATGTATTCGGTCTACGCTCTTTGAACCCATCAAGGAGAGCTTGAGAGATATTTTCGAGCATATAAGATAAGATCTCGCCCAGGAGTGGGCTGTTGGTCCCTGTGGTGCTCGGGACAGTCGTCGAAACTTCCGTGTGGACCATCACTAGTCTCATCAGCGCAGCGTAGACGTACGGTCTGACTTGATCTGGTTTCGGGGTTGCCGGCACCCAATTTGGAGAGCTGATACCTTCCTTGATGATCTGAGCCAAGTTCACAACCATGGGTCGGGTGTATGCCTGGAACAGCTTCGCATCGATTTGACCAAAGACGTCTTTGATCGTCTTGGACTCTTCCGCTAGCTTTACCGAGAACGAAGATTCAAAAACTTGGATAAGTGCTGGTACATACTCATTCCGCAGGGCCTTCAGATTCGACATAGTCAATAGCATGCGCACGTTGCGGCTTGAGGCGTTGATGGCATTTTGCACCAGCGTTTCGCTCGGGGCGGCACCAACCGCAATCGAGCTGAGGCTCGTCACCAAGACCCAGTCATCTTCGTCTCCTTGTTTCGAAGCCTCCGTGTTTTCGAGCATGCCACTGACCGCTTTGTAAATGCTGCTGACGAATTGAGTCCGCACCATTTGCAAAAGCTTGGATGGAGGGGGAGTGATTATGTCGCGCCCTCCAGACTTTGGTGTCGAGTCGGAGAGGTACAACACTTGTTGCATACCCTGCAATACCTTTCTCTCAAAGGCTTCAATGTACATCGGCATGCGAGTTTGATCACGTTTTTCTGGCGACCGCACCCAATCTTCCATTGACTTGCAGCTTTCAGCATCCTTGCTCCAGGCCTCACAAACAGCTCGCATGCTTCGTTCCCGGGCCCCTGTAATCATGGTCTTGATTTTTTCATACATTGTATTGTTGTTGCTGACTGGTTCTAGAGCCACCATTTCGCCTGCAGCGACTCCGACTAGGGTAAGGATTTTCTGAAGATAGTGCACAGCACTCAACGAGTTAGAGTGGGGTGGCCAGAATGCATAATCTTCCCATGGTTCGCCTTTCTTTGCTGCTGCTGCGGGTAGGTCATTGGGATCAAGTTTTCCTATTCGGCCATCGGTGGGCGAAAAGGCAGCTCCCATGTGAGGAGTAGTTGGTGTACCCGCGGATCCCGGTGCTGGCGAGAATAAAGAAGAGATATCTTCCGTGGGCGGATCCGCAAAAAGCGAAAAGACAGCATCCCTCAACTGGCCGACCAGTTCAGTAGCACCGCTTCGCAACCCATTGGCATCCGCCTCGGACAGCTGGAGGTGTTTACTGCTCTCACCCTCATAGCCAGTGGGTAAAATCTTCTGTTTGCTGCCACTGATGAACGATTGTGCTGACTCCCAAAAGTCGACGACCTCTCCTAGTAGCCCGCTTGACAAAGAGAGCAATTTGGTGAAGTAGGCCAAGATGCAGTTCCAGAAATCGACGACATCTTCGGTGTCAAGAGCTTCGGGGCGCTCTTTGGAGGCCTGCCGTAAGAACGACGCAACGGTTTGGGAGGATGGACGTTCCCCAACTGCCAGTCGGCGGCGCAAGATCTCGATTTCAATCTTGGATCTCTCCACAACAGCAGCAATCTTGTTCTTCAAGAAGTCATACCTACTCAGTAGATATACCCAGATTGGACTCTCCTCCACGCCCAGATGCAACAAAACGGCGATCAGCTCCATGTGCTCTTCTGCCTGCGAGGCCCCAGGAAGCGGAAGGGTGGCCGAAGTGGTGGAAAGTCTTCGCCAAATGTCTCGTTTTAGTGCCTTTATTTGCTCATCCGCACTTGACCACATTTTTCCCACGACGACAACCCGATAGACTTCATCATCTGAAAGACCCCGGCCAGTTTGCTTCGCATCTTCACCTAAGGCGCGTGCCTCAGCAGCATATCGACGAGCAGCATTGTATAATTCCACAACTTTGTCGTAATCTCTCTGATTGATAGCTTCGCTCAAACTTGAACCCAGCGCGAAGATTGCCCGGTCTTTCTCCAACCCGTTTAACATCACTTTTAATTTTGCTTCTCGTTCTTTTCCTCCTAGTGCCGGTCCCCAGACATCCTCGGCCTTTTGACTGACCTCTGACAGCGAGCTTTTCATGCCTTGCACGCCGTAGTCTGTTTCTTTGCGTAAAGCATTCTTACTCGGACGTTGGGGGGCTACTCCAGTGGCACTGCCGCCGCTAACATTTCGGAAGTGAATGCCACTGATTCGCCGAGAGTGGCGCGGAGACGGGGGAGCATTAGCATTAGTATCAATTCCCTGATTCCGCATCTCCGTATAGACATTGTCAATCGTGGCTTTGGCTCGGACGAAGCGCTCAAAGTTGGTCTCCACCAGGGCTTTGAGCGGCGCGGACTGCTGGTCAATAGACCTTGCGAGGTATTTGGATCCTTGTATAAGGTCTTCTGTGGTGTCCTCGGAATGAGCCGTCGCCAGAAACATTTTGGCAGAAAAGGTTATTGAAGAGAGCATGAATTGGTTTCTCGTCCGGGGATCGCTTTCGACCGCATGGCCAAGATTTGCTAAACGGGTCACCACGCTTGAAGGAGCTCCCAAAGGATCTGGTTCATCTTTCTGGGCTATGTTTGCCCTTCCCTCGGG